CACAGGAGTGCTGAGCGGCCAGACCTCACCCAGCACTGTATGTCTAGAACGACTGGACGCAGCTCAGGTTCTGCAGCTCTGCGTTCGATACCAGGACCATTTACATCAGTGTGCCGAGGCTGTGGCCTTTGACCAGAATGCCCTGGTTAAAAGAATAAAAGAGGTGAGAAATGGTTTTATGCTGACTATAACATTTTGATGGTGTTCGGTTTTTGAACATCAATGTTAAAGGTCAAACTACTGGATTATGCTATAATGCAGTGCTATTAGTACCATTACTTGTAAATATCTGTAGTTCACAGGTTTACAGTTCATTATATGGTTTGTAAGAGTAGTTTATGAAAGCTAAGAGCTGCAAAGTTATTACTATTTTTTTAAGTTATAATTTTAGTTTAACATTTTTTTAAATATAATTAAAACATATATCTAAAACCTCTGACATTGTACATTCTTTACGTTCTGTCTTTATTTACATCTTTTTTCAAATTAGATTTTTGTGATTCTGATATGTCTCATTCCTGTTGTTAGATTCACATGTCAATATTTTCTTGTTTTTTTTTGGTAAGGTTTCTTCAAGGTGACATGTTTGTCTTTGTCTCCTCTGTTTCTATCCAGATGGACTTGTCGGTGGAAACCTTGTTCAGCATCATGCAGGAGCGCCAGAAACGCTTTGCCAAGTACGCCGAGCAGATCCAGAAGGTCAATGAGATGTCCATGATCCTGAGACGCATCCAGATGGGAATCGACCAGACGATACCTCTGATGGAGCGTCTCAACAACATGCTGCCTGAGAGCGAGCGCCTGGAGCCCTTCAGCATGAGGCCCGATGGGGATTCTGCCACAAAGTAGCTGCCAAGAACACAAGACGGCAGCTTCTTACTCAAGTCTACACACTCATCTGTTCAAGATTAAGTGCAGGTCTGTCCATTTTTAGGAATGTGAAATATTTAAATACACTTTTTACTTCACTTATTGCAGAACTTTGTAATAAGATACTTGTTCTTCAACATTTGAGACACTCGTCAATCTAACTCTGGCTTCACACCAGCTCTTCTGGACCAGATGCTTATTTGTACAGTGCTTGTTTAAAAGTCGAAAAGTCATAAGAAAATGAAGGGGATAACATGAACTTTAACAAGTCCAAAAAACTGCTTTTGTTATGTGTGTGTGCTCAAAGGACCCATAAAGGAAGCAAGCAACACAGAAGTATCTTAAAATACTTCAGGGAAGTATTTTTGGATCTTCTGCAAAACCTGCAGCTCCATCCAATATTACCTGTGTGCATCACGACTGACCTGAAGTCTGTATCAGCGTATACATTTTCAAAGGCAACAAGGTATTTCTCCTGTATTCTGGTGTTGTCACAACTTTGTCATGTGAAGAAAAAATGCAACAAGTGACTCAACTAGTATCCAAAAATAGTTACATTAAGGGGACAGAGTAGTTTTCACTCTTGAATGAGAGGAAGTTGCATGTTGAAAGTCCATCATCTTTACACTTTTCTCTGGTCATGTGTCACGTCAAATATGTGAGCAGAAATAACCAACAAAAAAAATTGACTTAAAGAATAAAGACTGTGTTGAAACTACTGTGATATCAGGGGAGCTGTGTGTCGATCAAGGACAAGTTCAGCTCTGAGAAGATTTGATGGAAGGTTTTCAGCAGCGTTCTGTGAGCAGATCCATTTATCATGAAGAATTAGCTGCAGCCGTTCTTCACTTGCTGTGACACGAGCGGCACTATCAAATTCTGCAGTCATGAATTTTTAAAAATGTAATTTTGTAGCATAATCGATTTTGATATGCGTCGCAAATGATTTGCAATTTTTGCAACGTGATTCACGAGTTTAACATAACAGGAGTGTAAAATGTCAATATTTCCTTTTTAAACTTGTTTGAAAATACAATGTAAAAGCTTGGGTTAACCTTAGATTAATGATATTGACACACGACTATTACCAAGCTCATAGGTCTGCAACCTGTGGCTCCAGAGCCTCCTGAGGCTCTTCAGCCTCCTCTGGTTTGGTCCTTGTGTGATTATATTTAATGTTGGTGAATTGACTAAATCTGGCCTGCCATTTAACACTCAAATGAACCAAAGCTAGTACAGTGCATGCTGTGCTGTCTTTAGTCACTGATACTGTTGAGAACAGGGCTCAGAAATTTTACAGAAATTAACTTTAAACACATTTTGAACCAATTTTTTGCAGATACAGTCACTGTCTACTTTAACTTAAAAAAAGGCTTTACACTTCACTGCACTGTACTTGACTGTAGTTAGTGTCAGAGTGAATACTTTTCATTCTGTATGATCAACATCTGACTCGATTCAACCTAGAAAACAGTCGTCTGTGTCCTTGAGTTTAATCATATGATTTCTGTACCTTAACATAAGGAACATCAGGCAGAAACTAGAGATTTTCCATTCAATATTTAACCAGCTTTTCATGAGTAAATACAGAAATGTGAAAGAAAAAAAAAATTCAAAGGTTGGCGGGAGCAGTCTTAGTCATTAAGGAGAGATGAACTGTGAGATAATAGAATAAAAGCTGATTTTAGACAATGAATTCTTTGAAAAGAGGAAATGACATTCAGTATCCACTGTATGTTCTTGTCTGGTTGTCCTCTCGCCTCTCTCTTCACATCTTCAGGCACTTCTGCAGCCTCCAACTGTCTGTTGTCTGTACTGTGTCTGTACTGTGTCTGATCTCCACCAGTTAAACTGAAGCATTTCTGAAGATCACCTGGGATTATTGCTGCTGTGTGATCAATGGTTTATTTCTTTATTTTTTTGTTAGTGCCTGTTTGTAGTGTACATGTGTGGAAACAAAGTCACTTTCCGCAAAGACCGGGGTTAAAAACATTAAACGCTGTAGTGGTGAGTGGCTGATGGCGATGTGAGAGGCGTGTCACTGATGATTGCCTGTATTGACTGTGCTGTTGAAAAATGACTCACAACTGTGCTTTTTTATTTGACAGCAGGTCTCCTGCGCTGATAGATGCCCACTTGGCTCTGCCCCTTGTATTCCAGCCAAACACGATCCTTCTTGCAGGAGATGCACATCAGAGTAGATCTATCTATCATTTAACGTTTAATCAAATATTTTTATTCCCTCATTGCACGGCTTTGTGTGTAGAACCCAACTGGTGAACTGGGAAAAGGTTTTTACAGGGGCAGAGTGAGACAGAAAAGGTCATAACTAAACAGTCTCTAAAGTTACTCTGGAAAAACTTGATATAAAATAAAGCGTAAAGGAGCAGCCACGGGTTGAGCCACGCAGTGATAAACTTTGAAAGAAAAAAATAAGAAGTCAGGGAAATCTTTTTCAGGAACAGCACAGAATCCTTGTGATTATGTGACTATTGGCAGGGGCATAAAGAGTTTAACTTCTCATTGTTGTAAATAAACCCACGTTGTCTGGAGAACTCCAGGTTTAACAGCAGCAGTAAAACAAGCAAATAAAGGGAGGATATTGAAATGTCACGCCAGAGAAAAGACTGAAATGGTTGTTGAACGTGTGTTAGGTTGAGTGTGACGATGATGCGTGTCTCAGATGGTGATTCAGTGCCACCGGTGCTGCTGCCATAAAATGCTGGTGACGCCATCATGTCTCATCAGAGACGGTCCATAAGGGAACAAACAGCAGCTCATCAGTTTGGATGAGAGGTGACATTGGCTCATAGTGAAGAGGAGGAAGAGGGGGAGGAGGGAGAGGACAGTGTAGTCACAAAGTGTTTAATGTCACAGTTTGGCAGTAGAACAGTCAAACCAAAGACCCTTGAACACGCTGCTGACATATAGAGTCACCAGAGGAAGACTCAGTGTCGCCTCCTGTTGTGTAGGTTGATGACAGTCACAATCAAACACATGGAATGGTGTTCATCCATCTGCTCTGTTGAGCAATGGCCTGCAGCTTCGCCTTTCGGGTGTCGGGCCCTGATGTGTCACGTGTCTCTCGGTGCTGTACGGTTAAAAATATGGATATCTTAATTGTGTCTTAAAAAACGATGATTTCCATCTACATGACAATGACAGATTTGTGTTTTTACTGAACTTGATTCTAGGTGTGAAGGAAGTGTTTGATGTCGCCTAATGTGTGTCAATGATTCTATGAAATTTTCATCCAGACGTTGTTTGTTTTTTATGATCCGTGCTGTTAAACTGCTGCAGTGATGCTGCGGTTAAAAAAAATGATGTAATTTACCAGAGCACTAGAGAAACCTGAACAAACGCTGATGTAAAAAATGCCGTTCACTTTTCTCCCACTGATCTGGAGGTGATGGTTCGTGTTGTTAATGTGTGCTTTGTTTTGTTTTTTTATCTCCTCAAAACACTCCTCGCTCATGTTGTTCTTTTTCACCACCGGACTTGTTCCACCTCTGACAGCAAGTGGAAATCTTTAATGGTTTGTCAACTCTGTCAACCTTCAGTTTGTTTCACACAAGGACAGCAGACAATGTTAGGACACTGGAGAAGCACTGGGTCTAAGGTCCAAATGCCAAACTGTAACTATTTGCTCTGTGTGTGTGTGTGCGTGTGTGTGTGTGTGGTCGTGGTCGTGGTCGTGGTCTTTTCCAGTTGACCTTTTTTTAGCGCAGGCTAAGTATGTCATCCATAATTCAGATAAGAGTGAAAACCCAGTGAGACAGGAGAAATGTCCATCTCTGCTCACTTCTGCCTGACTTGCTTCGAGGCATCGAGGAAGCCTCTGGGAGTGTGTTCTTCCTTAGACATTTTCTCTCTCACTCTCTTCTTCTTTAAACAAGTGCAATGGTTTCAAACTCACACAAACTTTTTCTGAAAGAGACTTAGGTTTTTTTTCCTCCTCCCATGAAGCTTCACATTTGGCAGGGAAGCAGTGAAGCAGGTAATGTTGCCCTGCCATTCACCAAACTCGGACTCATCCATCAGACTGTCAGGCTGAGAGCTGTGATTCATCGCCTCACACTCGACCACAAAACTCATCCCAGGAATCACTTATGTTCAGGCCAAAAATCCTGGAGCCCAGCAGCGCTTAATGTTAACTTTGACTAATTCCTGATCAACACAGTCTTGGTCCATTTTGTGTAAATGGGAATAACAAGTGTGTAGATGCTGAAAAGAGCGTCTCCTACAGTGATGGACCAGATGTTTACAAACCGAAAGATTCCTTTATTTTATATCAGATGTGTTCATAGTAACAGTAATTGGAACTCCAGGAAAATATGTTTCTCTTCTGAGTCCAACAACTAACAATTTGGAACTAATTTGTTTTTAGTGACATTATGTTTCTTTACACAAAGTAAATAATTTACATTTTTTAAATTACTGTAATGTTTAAAATGTATATGTACTGTCCCACAATTAAGATACATATTTGGCCTTTGGAGTTTTATAAGAGTAAATTAATCCAGATGTGACTCTTTAATTTACTTTATTCAAAACTAAATATGTTGACAGCATTTTTGAATTGTAATTTTACTATAACCATTGATCTTTGATCTAAATTCAGAATCTGATATGTATAGTGTTGGTTTCACATCTACTCATAAAATGCAGCCGCTGGGTCGCTCCATGATTCAGAATCTGATATGTATAGTGTTGGCTTCACATCTACTCATAAAATGAGTAGATGGGTTAAGGGTTAAAAACTGGAATAATGTTGAATTACAGCTGTCCAGCGTCATTTTGCAGCGATATGTTAAATTCACGACTGAATAATTGATCTCATTTCAGATAATCTGACCTTGGGCTGGAGCACAGAGGGATTTCAGGACCATCTCTCAGGTGAGCATTGACACCGTCTTCCATCTTTCCAACATTGATGACTTTCATTCATCTGGTTCCAGTGGGTTCAGATGTGAGCAGCTCACTGAATATTCGGTCACAGTTTGAACTCCTTTAGCCCTTTAAAATTACAGGTGATGAAATATTCAGACCCATGGACTGTGGAGATGGGGGCTGAGTGCAGCGGCTGACAGCTGACAGTTTGACAGTGTTTCCTTTTAGCTCACTGTGCATTCACCTTTACACTGACAGGGCTGACATTAATGGTTCCCCTTTATGCTTTTTCAAGCATGTAATTATAGTGCGAGTAGTTGGAGAAACACAGTGACCGGCAGTTTGGTGAACTGTGCATTGTGTCTAAATGAACTGTTAATAATGCGGGAATAAAAATACCAGAACTCAGAACTCAGGACTTGTAGGTTAAATAATGTTGTACAGTCTGTGAAGATCACCGTTCACTGAAGTGGTGTTCATTAGCCACAATGTACTGTGTTAGAATAAGTATCCTAGTTTTGTCAAAATGGAACAGAGGTTTCTGTTATAGCTGTGCATGTTCCTGTGGTGTGTGTTATTCTCAGCAGACAGGTAGACAACTCAGTCTACTGTCGAGCTGCTGCAGTCTGTAACTGGTTCACCCTGCAATTGCTTTCCATTATTGTTTGGCATTTGGATACAATACGGTATCTGTGATGCATCCAAGGTTGAGTGCATAGTAATTTGCATCTGTTATTAGCATAAAAATCATATCACCGAAATGGCAAACCCCCGCACTCGAATTATAATCGTGTTAAATCAGGAACGTGGTGTGATATGCAGAGAAGTTAAAATCGCAAAATGTTATTTCATTGTAGAGCCTTTAAGGTAAAAATGAGTTTCTGTGAAAGCAGGGTTAAGACTATAGACCCTATATTGTATAAGAAACGGATGACGATGTTTCTGTGGCAGCAACAGTTGGGAAGGGCAGAATACCAGCTAATCTTCTCTTTTTCTTTTTTTTTTCGTTTCCATTATTTTATTTATTATTATTTTGGAAAAGACATGTTTGGTTTTTCCTCCATCTGTGGCAGCGACATTTTGGAAGGGCAGAATACCAGCTAATCTTCTCTTTTTCTTTTTTTTTCGTTTCCATTATTTTATTTATTATTATTTTGGAAAAGACATGTTTGGTTTTTCCTCCAACAGATGATGTCACCTTAAAATAATTGTGAAGTGAAAGTAAATCCATTTGGCATCGGTTAATATTAAAGTCGGAAATTCATTTTACAATATCGGTGTATCGGATATTTGCAAAAAGTTAATATTGGACATCCCTACTCATATCATAACAGAACATAACAATAACCCTCGGCCTTCTCTTTGTCTTAGATGTTAAAATAACTAGTTGCTGGATCAGTGTTTGAGTATTTGAATGTATTACGTAGCCTGATAATACTGTTATTAATTCAAGGGCCAGTTTGAGCCTTAATTAACTAATTGACAGTCCTATTGCACTGTCATTTGTGGTAAACTGTTTTGCTTTATTGTTTATTTTCCTCTAAAGAGGATCATGATTTAAGATGTCGACACCAGTGAGAATTGGACTTCATTTCTTAGACATTCTTTTAAATGAAGTTTTGTTGTGCAGCCAGCAGAGTGGCCCCTGGTGGTTTCTGCCAGTACTTCAATTTTAGAAGCAGATGGCAACATCCACTTTTTCTGTAGGGTCTATGGTTACAACAGATACTTTAGTTTGTGCTAGAGCAGATGTTCTGCTACGTCTCTTTGACGTCCTCTTCTTTCCCCAGCTGCTGCACTTGAATCAGACTAATACTTGGTGGAGCACCGTAACAGCGGGGGCTCTCTGTTGGCTTGTGGTGTAACATGGTGTGCCGTGAATCATTTAAGACTCATACATTTTAAAGCAGCCGCAGCACAGTTTCAGTCACCAAACATGACAACAGCACTCAGTGCCTTCAGCGCCAGCGTCTCTGCTTCTAACAATAATCTGTTTTTCATGCCAGATTAGAGTGCATAGCACACAAGGACACAGTAGCGGGTAAAAATATACGTAATCTTCATTTAAAGCAGCTCACAGGCTTATTATAATTGCAAATTTGCAACTTGACTCCTGGCGCACTCAGACCTAATTTAGAAC